CTGGGATCATGACCTGAGCTAAAATCAAGAGTCAGTCGCTCAACTAACTGAGCCCCCCAGGTGCCCCCTGACTTCTCCTTTGAAAGTAGTATTTCTGGGTATTATTCTAGCTCTAGATTCAAGATGAGGAAGAGAATTTCTTATTTTAAGAGCCAGCAATATCCTTGCTGTTAGGCTGTCCTACACTAATTGTAGATACATCTTTATGATATTTCTCTCTAATTTGCCTCCTCAAAACCCTTTGAGCCTGACTTTTAATCTCCTCCTTTGTCAGGGACACAATGATTCACTTCTTTAGTTTAGTTATGTCCTGAACTGAAGATCTGCTCCTTACTATTATCTGGGTCAGTCTTACTAGTGGGTAGGTAGCCTTAATGGTGGGCCCCATCAGCTGGAAGCCCTTCTACCTCAGTTAAGATTTCTACTTTAGCCAACAGAACACTACATTTCTCTGTTTCAAGGCCTGTTTTGAGCTTTCGGCAGCTGAAATAATCTGCTCTACTCCCCTCCCATTCACGTATTTAACAAACATATACTGAGCTCTATTATATTCTGAGCACTGTGCTAAGGAACCAATAGTAAGAAACAGTCCCCAAGAGAAATTATTATGTTATGTATTATTATGACATACTCTTTAGATGTCTCTGCTAACTCTCAGCTTCCACAATCAGTTTATAGTAACACAAATATCATATAATGATAACAGATTTAATAATGTCTTAACCTTAGAAAAGAAGAGCTATCCCTTTAAGAGTAATAATTTTTTTTAAATTGCTAGGAACATTCTAATGTATATCACTTACCTTGTGTAAGAAGTCCTCTAAATTGCTCAACTGCTTTGTGAACGTCCACTTGGAAAAATTCCCAGAGTTGAATCCTTGGAAAAACATCCTCCCAAATTATTTTTCGAATGCACTGAAAAATTACAATAGTTGAGAAAAATATATTCAAAATCTTTTCACAAAACATATTTACCATAATAAAGATAGACTCTAAGTAATTTTCAACCATATATTTAATTTGTACTTTAGAAATTCTGTTATTCTGAGAGAGGAAGGGAGGCAAACCACATGAGACTCTTAAATACAGAGAACAAACTGAGGGTGGACGGGGGGCGGGGAGTGGTGGGGAAGAGGGAGAATGGGTGATGGGCATTGAGGAGGGCCCTTGTTGGGATGAGCACTGGGTGTTGTATGTAAGCCAATTTGACAAATTATATTTAAAAAAAAGAAATTCTGTTATTCTGTTTTAGTGTGGTACTCCTCTATACATACTGACATTCATTTGATGATCATTTTCAATCAAAGCAGGTACTCCTTTTTCTTTGTATTTCCCTTCTGCAACGTCACAGGATAAATGCCACAGTGCTCTGTCTAAGACCCAGGCAGGTTTTAAGTGTGGAGAATTTACAAGGTTATATGCACTTTCTGGATGTTCGTGGATCCATTTACTATTAGCAGCTTAAAGAAAAAGGAAAGATAAAAGAATATCTTGTAATTAAACTCACGATGGTATCTATGTTAAGTTTTAAAATGAAATAAAATATCAATATCCACCACTCGTTTCCTTCCTTCCTTCCTTTCCTTCCTCCCTCCCCTCTTTCTCTTCCTTCCTCTCTCCCTCTCCCTTTTCTTTCCTTTCTTTTTTTTTTTTTTTTCTTTTCTTTTTCTTCTTTCTTTTCTTTCTTTCTTTCTTTCTTTCTTTCTTTCTTTCTCTCTCTCTCTCTCTCTCTCTCTCTCTCTCTCTCTTTCTCTTTCCAAGTAGGCTTCACGCCTAGCGTGGAGCTCAATGCGGGGCTTGAACTCACAACCCTGAGATCAAGACCTGAGCTGTGATCAAGATTAGACGTTTAACTGATTGAGTCACCCAAGTGCCCCCACCACTGATTTTCTTATATATTAGAAACAATATTTAAATATATTATAGAAATTATATATTACATATTGTTATGTTTTATATTAAATATTTGATATTAACTTAAAATATTTACAGTAATTTATGATACTGCAAATTGAAAAACATTTTTTTTTGGTTGTGGTATCCTGTCATCCACTTCACCATACCTTTTTTTTCTTCTGTTGTAAGAATTTTTAATTGTAAGATGCAACATTAACTTAACACCCTTCTAATAACATGTTTACTATTGTGGGAGTTAAGAAGGGTCTTGTCCTCAGCCCATTTTGATGGTCCTTGAGTCAACTATTTTTTGGAATGTTCCTTATAAGCCTGAAAACAATATTTCCCTGCAAGACAGACAGGGCTTCCACCCAATTTCAAGTTCACTGTACTTGTTAAAGCAGAAAGTTACCTGAATCTTCACTCTGGTTTAGGCTGCTCAGTGACAGGTTCTAGAATATCCATCTCGCTTTTCCCCAGATGCCTCTCTTCTTTAGTCTCCTGAATGAGAGGGCCCTTCTTTGGCCTCACCTAAGCTCTAGTTCTATATACTACCAATCTTTAGAATTCAAAATGTCATTTACACTTTTTTTTCCTATACAATCATTTCTTCTTGTATTTTTGGGGAGGAGGGAGGTGTGGTTTCTTCCTCTGGGTCTTTAAATATGATTGTATCTCCCTAAGGCTAAGAATACAAATACACATTCTATCCAAACTCAGTTATTTCTCTGACTTCTGCAGTCTGTTAATATCAAGATCAAATGTCTAGGAAATCCAATCTGTATCTGCTTCCACTATCTCCCCACAGTCTTGTTCCTTTTCCCACTTTAATCTGCTTCTGCATCCATCACTCTACTGAGATTACTCTAAGCCTCCTAATCATGAAATTCAGTGCTACTTTCTCAACTTCATCAGTTTAACCTCTATAACATCTGCCATTATTGATTAGTCCTTCAGTGATTTATAAAACACCTCTTCCCTGATTTACAAAAGGTATTATCTTGGTGTTTTTTTATTTTTCCTCCTCTCTTTTGGCCCTTCTCTTCATTTTTTTTTCTTAAATTTTTATTTTTCAGAGAGAGAAAGAGAGAGAGCGAGAGAGAGCACAATTGGTGGAGGGGCAGAGAGACAAGGAGACACAGAATCTGAACCAGGCTCTGAGCTGTCAGCACAGAGCCCGACGTGGGGCTTGAACCCACGAACCATGAGATCATGACCTGAGCTAGAGTCAGATGATTAACTGACTGAGTCACCCAGGTGCCCCTCTTCTCATGTTTATTAAACTTCGTGGGAGGTTTATTACATCTTAGTCCTTCTCTTTCTCTAAACATGCCCTTCCTCATCACAGCCACTCTTCTTAATACCCACATCTCAAACCTGTCCAGCTCCAGCCAAGGCCCAGGCACATCTACCCAGGCACTTGATGGGTAGCACTGCCAGAGGACAGCATAGTAACTCAAAATCCATTCATATCTCTGCATATATCTACACTTAAAATGTGATATATCTTAGGCACTGTTTTGGGAGATGGATATTATGCGGCAAAAGTGAGCAAGGCTCCTGTCCTCATGGAGCTTTTTCATTCTAGAGAGGTGGGTTTTTTTGTTTATTTGTTTGTTTGATTTTATTGTGCTGAGACAATTCTGACAGAATAAAATTCAGTTCTCTCACAGGCAACCTCTTTGGATAGCTAATCTTGAATGGTTGATAAGATTTGTCGTTTTGGTAAGACTGATAAAAGCCAGGCTCAGAAATTGCTAAAAAGAAACACACTGAGAGTACAAGGATGGAGCTTACATTTTATCATTCATTTGTATCAGTAAGTTTAGGATCAGAACCAGAGGAGTTCTGCAAGGTATTCCAAGTATTTGCAACATTAAAGAATATGTGTTTTAATTTTTAAATAAACAAATAAAAGTTATACATATTTTGTTTCATCTTTGAAATAGAGTAATGACCCCGAATTCACAGAGAAGCATGAGTGGTTAATGTACATGAAACAAACAGTAGTAACAACTACTGAATACCTACCATATGCCAGGAACTGTTCTAAGCAGCTATATGCACTAATTTATTAATCCTCATGTCCTATAGCATAATGTAGGGCATACAGTTATGTTCCTTTACCAGGGGAAGAACTGAGGCACAGAGAGATAAGTAACTCAGTCAAAGTCATACAGCCAGGAAAGTACTTGGGCAAGATTCTTCAGACCCTGCAGTCTTAACCACTCTGTTCTTCTGCTGAGATGAATGTGTTCATACCTCATTCACTCAGCTGACCACTATTACAATCCTTGCAGAGTTTAAAAATCATTATTTTTAGTTTCAGTCATTTATTTAGTAAATAATGTGGTACATAATTTACTTACTTATTATTTATTCATATCCATAATAAACACTTGGATGGAGACAGGATATATAAGAAACAGAGATGTCGCAGTAAGTTAAATTAATAGTTATTTAATTATGAATCAAGCTGCATTTCCCTAGATTCATCATCATATTATTAGAATTCAAGATGTAGGAGAAAAATGTAATGATGATTATATCTAGTTAGGATTTTCATTTATTAAGAATACTAAGGCTACCCTAATTTTTTAAATGGCAAAATCCTGAAACTTTGTTACTTATCTCAATTTTTTGAAACAAAATCAACTGTAAAATGAAGGAATTCTAAACATTAATTCCACCTGAAAGAGAGGTCAAACCAAACTACATCTTAATATATATCAAAATCAAAAATGAAACATAGATTTCTAGAGTGGTGCAGTGAGGAACTTAGCAGACATTCTCTGGAGCAAAACCACAATTTAAAGAGCAAAAATTATAAAATATAATCATTTACAGTCTCTGGAAATTGTCCTAAGGGTTTTCAGCATATGGAGAAACACTTATTTAAGAAAATCTACCAAATCTTGGCAAGAATAGCAACAGTCTGTGGCATGTGAACTACAACCTTCTCCCTTAACTCTCCCAACCAGCCACGTGTTATGGAAGCTGTATGCCAGGTGCTCTACTCTGGGAAGGCATGGCCAACATGGAGACTCCCCCTTTCCACAACTCCCAGTCTGGGGTTACAGTTTCACACTGGGGGAGGCAGGCTGCCTGTGTTTCTCACTCCCTCCAACCCTATTTTGTAGAAGCTCCATTCCAAGTAGGCAGGCAGAGAAAACCTTGGCTCCCTTCCTCCACAAAGTCCCCACCTGTAGGGTGGATGTTATACCCAGCTGCGGGAGGCCAAGAATATTGGGACTCCAACTGCCTCCTGGGAGCTGGAGCTCACTTGGAGGGTGAAGATTCCATATGGGGAGGGCAACTGAGAAGACCAGGGACTGCTATCTCCTGCCTCAAGTGTCCCCAGAATCAGATGGCACTTGGGGAAAAGTGGTCTCATCCCCAGCTCTGGAGCAGTAGCACAAGTGTTTTGCTTGGGGAGAAAGACAGTTCACGAGGATGAAAGGCTCTGCCTGAAAGGACTGACTTTATTTGGAACAGTGAGTGAAGAACTTCATGCCTAAGGTGTTGTTGAAAATAACGAAGACCTTGGTAGAGAGTAGTTAAGAGAATACTGGTAGCTCCATGATATTAAAAAAAAAAAATCATAGCAAACAAAACAGAAACTTAATAGAGAGAACCAAGGAAAGAGAAAGCAGAGGACAGTCTTCCTGGGATCACAGGAAACACTGTTGAGAAGGCTGGGTGTGTGCACTAGGCTGCACCCACTCAGAAGCAATTCTAACAGGACATGGGAAAGACCTGAAAACATTCCATAATCCCATACAGACCCATCAACACAGGACAACTCACTGGCAAAAGGGACTTAAACACAACCTCTAACCAAAAATGGAGTGAACAGTAAACTACTGTGACCCAGGGTAAATACTGGGAAGCCAGGCTTAAAAATAAAATCACATTCACCTCTGGCAATCTGGAAGACCATATGTATGTCCAAGGCTGTGCTCTCTGGAACAAGCAGAAAGAGAACCTCCAAGCTCCCAGCCCTTGATAAGTCTTTATTTATCTTTTTACTGTCAACCTATTTGTATCTTTGAATCTAAAGTGTGAAAAAATGTAATGTTTGCATTTTGAATAAAGAATGAAATATTTATTGACACATAAACCATGTGTCAATTTTATCATCGGATCTGCTAACAATGGAGATATAACAATAATAAATAAATAATTCAAAAGATAAAAAAAGAAAGTGTGTTGCCTGTAGGCAGCATATGGTTGGGTCTTGTTTTTTCAAATAACTTTGACAACCTCTGTCTTTCAAGATACAGGCACACCTCAGAGATACTGTGGATTTGGATCCAGAGCATTGCAATATAGTGAAAATCACAATAAAGCAAGTCAAACAACTTTTTTGTTGTTTCCTAATGCACATAAAAGTTATTTATTTTTTTTAAAGAGGGAGGGAGGGGGAAAGGAAGAGAGAGAGAGAGAGAGAGAAAGAGAGAGAGAGAGAGAAAGCAGGGGAGAAGGGTAGAGGGAGATCCACGCTCAGCCTTGAGCCTGACATGGGGCTTGATCCCATGACCCTGGGATCATGACCTGAGCCAAAATTAAGAGTCAGATGATCAACTGACTGAGACACCCAGGTGCCCCCAAATGTTATGTTTATACCATACTGTAGTCTATTAAGTGTGCAATAGCAGTATATCTTTAAAAAACAATGTACATCCCTTAAATAAAAAATACCTTGATACTAAAAAGTGCTAACTATTATCTGAGCTTTCAGTAAGTCATAATCACGAATCACAGATCATCATAACAAATATAATAAGGAAAAGTTTGAAATATTGTGAAAATTACCAAAATGTGACACAGAGACATGAGAAGTGAGCAAATGCTGTTGGAAAAATGGCATCAATAGACTTGCAGCAAAGTAAAGCACAATAAAACAAGGTATGCATTACTTCCAATATTCCCTGGATCTTTGGCTTTAAAATGTTTTTTTACTAAGATGTGATTGAGTGTGGCTACTTTTGTGTCTATGTTACTTAAAGTTCACTGAGCTTTGGGATGTGTAGATTCATGTTTGTTTGCTTGTTTTTAATCAAATTTTAAAGGTGGGGAAGTTTTCAGCCATTACTTGAGGTGTTTTTTCTATTCCTTTCTTTCTTTTCCTTCTGGCATTTCATTTCTATGATGTGGTGTGCTTCAACATGGCCCACATTTTACTGAAACTCTGTTCAGTTTTATTTTTCTTCAGTTCTTCAAAATGTATAAACTCTGTTCACTGATCCTTTACTCTGTCACCTCAAATATACTGCTGAACACCTCTAGTGAATTTTTAATTTACTTTTCAACTCCAGAATTCCCATTTGCTATTTAAAAAAATTTTCCATTTACTTATATTTTCCATTTGATACTATCATATACTCTACAGCTATAAGCTGGTTTCCTTTAATTCTTTAAATACATTTATAATAATTACTTTGAACTCTATGCTGACTAAGCATGACATCTAGGACTTTGTAAAGGCGATTTCTGTCGCTTGCTTTTTTCTTGCGTATGGGTCACATTTGCTGTTTCTTTGCATGTCTCAGTTTTTTGTTGCAAATTGGGCAATTTAGATAATGTATTGCAGCAACTCTGGATATTGAGCCCATTCCTTCCAGGTCTCGTTGGTTGCTTGTTTGTAACTTGGCCGTACTATTTCAGTGAAGTCTATTTCCCGCACGGTGAGCAGCAGCGGATGTTGCCGCTTAGAGGGCGCAGCCTTGGCCATCTGCATTCAGTCTGGGATGTTGGTGGTTTTTAGCAGGGCTCTCTCAACTGTCTCCTTCCCTGAACTCTGTTAAGCTGCTTGCATCCACTGGAATCACACTTAGCTGTTACTCTTTTGTGCTATTATTTTTGATAATATGCTGAAGCATAAATCGCTCCACAATATGATCCAATTAAATTTGGGCCCCTCGGCAGGGGTAGTCTCTGAGGCCAGTCTTTGAGACTTGTAGGACTCTTGGAGGGCTGTTCTTAGCTGCCTCTTTCTCTGGTTCTTTCGGTTAGACCACTTAGCTGGCCTATGGTTTAGTATGTTGCTCTCAAGTTGATACCAGCCTTCTCTTGTTTACCACCAAAGTCTCCATTGTTTTCAACAGTGTCCCATGCTATGTACCAATAAAGTCAATTTCGTTCTTACTCTGTTCTTACTGCACATCTCTTCCCCTGGGCAGAATACCTGTGTCACTGCTCCACAGCTGGTTTTTTTGGCTTACCTCTCTAGGTGTGGAAGCTCCACTGTACAAGCAAACTGGGACAAGGGCAACTAGGGCCCAGTATTCTTGTTCTGCCATGCACGGGGTAGAGCTTTCCCTCCATGAGTAGGGGTTGAAGGAAGGGAGCCCCAGACATCTCAGGTGCTCTTGCTCACAACGGAATTTCTACAACAGAGTGCTACAGTTGGGAGGGACATAAGAAATGTTGGAAGCCTGCACATTTAACTGGGAGCTGGAGAGAAAAGGAACCTTGTGTTCCCACCTGCACATGCCAGGAGTAGATCTATCATCATTCTGAACTGGGGCAGGGAGAAGCAGGTCCTGGTTCAAATGTCACAGATTATCACTGCTTTTATTGAGATTTAGGATATTTTCTTGCATAAATGCTTTTCCATATGCTGAATTCCCTTAGAACAATTTTCAAAGACTTTAAACAGTTCTTTTAAAAAATAATTTTTACCAGTTGTTTTGCTGGGTACAGAACTCTAAAGCCCTTACACTGCCAATCTCTGGAAGTCGACTCCCCTGGACAGTAATTTTTTAATGAAAACCAATTTCACAAAAAGCACATTATAATTTGCAACACTTTCCAATTTAAGGCTGAAGCAAAGTTTACTTCTTTATGTTGCAAAGAATCTCTCAAATGCTTCAGAAATAGTCTCTAATAGAGACTGTTACTATATTCCAATTTTTTTCTCCCTTTGTTCCTTTAGTAACAGAATTCCCAAGGTTCAGCTGAACACATGGCTAACAGACTACATTGCAAGGTGTGACAAGAGACAGAATCCTGTCTGATAAAATATGAGAAAAAAATATATATATACACATATATATCACATATATTTATTGTGGAATTATAGATATATATCTTATATCACATACACACACACACACCAGACCATGCCCTTAAAAGTCATGACTTCCCTTCCTCATTTCCACTAGGTAGAGGTGATACTGGGAACTGGAGCAGCCATATTTGATTAAGAGTTGGAAGCAAACTATTGGAGAGAGAGCAGCATGAGAGAAAGAACCTAGTTCCCCATCACCACTGAGCTACCACAGCAGTCTTGGGATGTCTATCTAATCTTTTATAGGAAATACAGTTTCAGAGTTAAGTCACTATATTTTTGTCTCTGTTACAGCTGCATATGCCATATCCTAAACTCATATAATGTCATTATGTACTTTGATAAACTTGATGTGAATAATATTATAGATGTTAAAGCAATTATCAATGTCAAATTTTCAAGTGAAGAATACTGATTTCTAAGATATTAGGAAGTTTTCACTGTGGCACACAGAGAAGATAATGTTTGCAAGGTACAGTGCGTTAAATTGAAAGCTGATCATGGTCAGTGGCTTCTCCAGGCCCAGCTGTCTGACAGGTGACAGGAGGAATCATCTCCCTGAGGATCGCCAGTTGGGAAGTTCAGATACATTTTATGGAATTGTATACTGGTAAAGAATCTTGAGATCCAAACAGATTAACTTTAATAAGCCCTTTTAACATGTAAAAGGTACAATTTTTAGATTTAACTTCTAAGAGTTTACCAATAATTTTCTCCTTAAATAGTCATTCAGCTTTTCAAATATATACTATAGTACCAGAGTTGCTGCTGTATGGGATTCACAAGTTGGTCTGCAAAGTATTAATAATGAAAGTTGAAATATGTGATCAAATGTCCCTTCTATGATCACTCTCCTGTTTTTATAATCATCACATGCAAAATAACTATGTATTGATATACTTTCAACTAACACTTATTTTCTCTGAAAGAAAAAAAGTGGTACTATATAAAGTGATTTTTAAATTGAAGGACACCTATATATCATTGTTTTCAAATTTTATGTTACATAAAACAGCAAGAAGTAAAATAATCAGAATAGAATATTCTCATCAAAATTAATGGAGGTAGTTAATTAAGCTCATACCAGTATGGTTGTAGACAACGTCAGTAATACAAAGAATATTCCATTCCTTTTTCAATTTTTCCACTAGCTGTCCAACATCATTCCAGGTATACTTTTTATTAGGTCTTGAAAAGTCAGGACTGAATTCTAACTGGTTAGCTAGGGAGTAGCATGACCTAGATAGTCCAAGAGTCTGTAAAGGGGTAAAATGAATCATGTTGTAACCTGCAATGCAAGAAAATAAACAAAGACCACTGTAAGAAAACAAACAAACAAACTAAAACTAAGCAAAATATAAGTTTAGACTTCCCTTAAGTAGTTTCAAATAGCAAGGCAACCATGTAACTTAGAAAAGGAATCAAAGACTAGGGTTCAAATCTTAGCTATACCATAAGTGACTTCAAGCAAGTCTACTTAAATCTTTCAGGATATCAGGGTCCTCATACATAAGACAGAGATAGTGAAATAACGCACTTGAAAAAATCGTACACAGTGCCTAGTTACTATTAAGGGTTCAATTTATATTTGTTGGATGGATATATTTACATGTAGAGAAATACAAGTATATCAGTATGTCTTGCTCCTACTTTTAATGTTCCACTGTCTGGTGTTCTGTTTCAGTTATGTCAATAAGTTTCTCATCTCTTTCTTCATATTATGTTCAGTTTGAAAGTAAAAAATATTACCCTTCAGTATATATGGCAGCACACACCTTCCACATGGAAGACAATTAATCAATGTTGAATTAAAATTATATACAATGATAATACATGTTCTAAAACATTTTAATAGTTTACTACTAATTTTGCTATGTCAAAGTAAAGTCTTAGATACAATAATGATCTCATTTTATTATTAGAGTTCCTTAATTTTCTAAGTTGAACCATATAATTTGCTATTTTTGCAGGTTAAAAATGGTTAAGTCTTAACACCTTTATATGATTCTATCTATTTCTATTACTAAATATACTAAGAAACAAAATTAAAAGGAGAATCAAAGCTCTTGAAATCTATATCACAGAGGATAATTACATTTATTTTAAGAAAGAAAGGAAAGATAGCTGACATTACCTGATTCTTTTGCAACCCTAAGTCTGCTTTCCCATTCATCAAAGGGTCCCATACACTTAGCTAAAAATGTCTGAAGAGTAACACAGTCCAAGGGTAACACGTGATTGTCAGCACCAACATGTAAAATAGGATCCACAACTATGTAACCCCCACCACTTTTTTCATTTCTAAGGAAAAAACAAAACAAGAACTTCTCAATTAATGATAGGAAAAAAAATCCTCATCTAATATAGTCTGACTCTCTAATGGGAAGGTGAATTGTCCCATTTTAATATGTGTTTCTAGAGGCACCTGGGTGGCTCAGTTGGTTAAGCGGCCAACTTCGGCTCAGGTCATGATCTCACAGTTCGTGAGTTTGAGCCCTGCGTTGGCTCTGTGCTGACAGCTCAGAGCCTGAAGCCTGCTTCAGATTCTGTGTCTCCCTCTTTGCCCCATCCCCCTCATACTCTGTCTCTATCTTAAAAATAAATAAAACATTAAAAAATTTTTTTTAAATATATTTCTAAGCACATAAAATCATTTAAAAAGTTGCAATGAAACTCAATGGAAAAGCCTTATTTTATCCTTTTTCCAATCTCTACATAATGACATAGTATGTATAATATCTAGTAATGTTGCATTAAGGAAAAATAAGCATACCTATCAGTAATAACAAGGGCACTCAAGCAAATAGCATCTTATAATGAAGTTATATGAAAAGACTATTCAAGTGGTTACTTAAAAAAAAAAAAATTGAATCTGCAATGAGTCTTACAATTGCTTCCTAGGAACTGAAGAACCATATTCTATTTGCATCTCAAAAAATCCTGTAAAAAATTGCAGTCCATGGTTTATATAGTAACTTTTTTTTACAAGCTAGATAATTTAACTAGATAGAATGAATTAACTTTTTCTCCCCCCAACATATAGGACACCTGACTTACCCTTGAAGGAAGTAATACTGAAATGATCCAGCTTGCTGAAGATTAAGTTTACAGTATTTATCAGAATCATCTTCTCTTTCTGTTGGATTTTCCCATTCCAGGGAACGGAATTTTTCTCGATTAAACGGTTCTCCAGGAAATGGGTAATTTGTAAATACAGTAACTGCTTTTCCCTGTAAAGTGGGGCCTAGTCGGAACTGTAGTTCAAACCCTAAACAAAAAGCACATTTCAATAAACTCATTGTAAGAACTTAAATTACCACATTAATAAATAAATGATTTATTTAAGGTTTTACAAAAACTATGGTTTCTCAACTATGTTTTAAATATATATATTATATATATTATATATATGTATTGTATATATAATATACATATATTATATAATATATATATATAATATATATATGCTAATATACAACACTGCTGGTTTTGGAACTATTCTGCAATCTAATTTAGCTGAATTGTATATTTTAACATACAGTATACAACACAGAACTGTCTGCTCTGTATTGTCCCTCTCCTCTCCTCTCCTCCTGGAAATTGATTCCTATTTGCATGGCTACTTTGGGATATGCAAGTTCTTTTTTTTTTTCCTTTTTAATAACATGTCTTCAAGTTTATTCAGAGTATGTTTAGAAAATTAGGATAGCTTTAAAGTGAAAAACAAAATGAAATTTTACTGAACTTGAAATCTTTCTAATTCCAGAATAGTTAACATACAGTGTTACATTATTTTCACATGTACAATATAGTGATTCAACAATTCTATATATTACTCATTGCTCATCATGATAAGTGCATTTTTTAAAAATATATATATATTAAAAAAATTTTTTTTAACGTTTATTTATTTTTGAGACAGAGAGAGACAGAGCATGAACGGGGGAGGGGCAGAGAGAGGGAGACACAGAATCTGAAACAGGCTCCAGGCTCTGAGCCATCAGCCCAGAGCCTGACGCGGGGCTCGAACTCATGGATCACGAGATCGTGACCTGAGCTGAAGTCGGACGCTTAACCGACTGAGCCACCCAGGCGCCCCTAAAATATATTTTTTAAAGTTTATTTATTTTGAGAGAGAGGCAGAGAGTGAGAGAGCAAGTGGGGGAAGGGCAGAGAGAGATAGGGAGAGAGAGAGTCAAGCAAGCTCCATGCTCAACATGGAGCCTGATGCAGAGCTCGATCCCATGACTGCGAGATTATGACCTGAGCCAGAACCAAGAGTCGGATGCTCAACCAACTGAACCATCCAGGTGCCCCATGTATTCTTAATCCCCTTCACCTATTTCACCCATCCCCTTACCCACCTTCACTCTAATAACCATCAATTTGTTCTCTGTACTTAAGAATCTGTTTTTAATTTGTCTCTTTTTTTCTTTGTGCTTCTTAAATACCACATAGAGTGAAATCACATGGTATTTGTCTTTCTCTGACTGACTTATTTCACTTAGGATTATATTCTCTAGATCCATCCATGTTGTTGCAAATGGCAAAATTTTGTTACTTTTAATGGTTGAGTAATATTTCATTATATACCGTATCTTCCTTATCAATCTATTGATGGACACTTGGGCTGCTTCCATAATTTGGCTACTGTAAATAGTGCTACAATAAATATACAGGTGCATGAATCTTTTCAAATTAGTGTTTTAATATAATTTGGGTAAATATTCAGTAGAGGAATTCTGGATCATATGGTAGTTCTATTTTTCATTTTTTGAGGAACCTCCATACTGTTTTCCACCATGTTTACACTAGTTTGCATCCTCATGTTTTAGTATTTAAGTCTTTTTTGGAATTCTGAGGGCCAAAACATTTCCAGTTTTGCCTAAGTTAGGCTATTTCTATTAAAATGTATCTGAGACATCTATAATGTATTGCAAGTATTTTGCCATGGGAGGCAAAAAAAAAATTAACACATTATAGTCATAATTTTACTATAAAATAAAATTACGGTTGATTCTGGGAAGATTTTATATCTTGATACCAGAATGTGAAAATTCTGACTACAGTAAAGTCTGTTAGAAATATAAAGCAAATAACAGTATACTTATGATGAGCACTGAGTAATGTACAGAATTGTTGAATCACTATTGTACAACTGAAACTAATATAACATTGTATATTAACTATATGGAATTAAAATTAAAAAACCTAATAAAAAAGAAATATAAGGCTTAGAAATTTTAATCATGAAGATAACAATTCAATTAATGATGGGCAATAATAACCAATGAAGGCAGGAAAATTTAGTTCTGCTGATTATAATCTTTAAGCTTAAGGAAATTAAAAAAATATTTTATTTTACTTTTTATTTATTTTCGCAGCACAATTGACATACAATGTTGTATTACTTTCAGGTGTACAACATAGTGATTCAACAGTTCTACACATTACCCAATGCTTACCACAGTAAGTGTGGTCACCATACAATGTTATTACAGTATTATTGACTATATTCCCCACACTGTACTCTTCATCTCTGTGGTTTATCAATTTTAAAACTGGAATTTTTTACTTCTTAAGAAACTTTTTGAGAAGAAGCATACTAATATCTATATTTTTAATGCTCAATTTATGAAACATCTAACAAAGTATAAAAAATTATGTCATGAGTGCATACTATGTATAGGAAACAAAATAGACAATGATCTCTGCCCTTGTGGAGCTTGAGTTCTAAAGGGGGAAGGCAGCCATTAAACAATGAACATGATAAATAAGTAAGAAACAACTGTATATCAGGGAAGGATAAATGCTAAGAGAAGAAAGAAAAATCAGAGCAGTGTAAGGAAAATGGGGATAAAGGAGAGATGGTGGGGAGGCGGTAACAATTTTTAATATTAAAAAGTTGACAAGCTGGAGAAAAGTCAGGGAGTTATTAGCCACATGGCTATTCATGGTCGTCCATGGAAAGAATTGACCAAGCAGAGGAAACCAAGAGGACTTGGGGTGGAAGCAAGCTTGGTGATTCCAGAAATAACAAGAAACTCAGTATGTGTCGACTGGAATAAGCTCGGGGAGAAGTAGTAAAATACGAGGAAAGAAAGATAACAGGGGGGCCGGATCATGGTCTTGTAGGCCACAGTAAGAATTTGGTTTCTTCTCTGAATGAAATGAGGAGCCAATGAACAGTTTTGATCAGAGGAGTCACATGACCTAACTTGTGTATTAAATCACTTTGTATATTATATCACTCTGATTATATCATTCTGATTATGGCTGCTTCTGGCCATAATGGAGTAAGTGGTATTAGATTTGTCCTCCGCTGAGAAACTAGAAGAAATAAATGAGACAACTGTTTTCAGAAATAAGGAGTGAAGGACTGTGATGCCCAAGAGAATGGTGATTCCTATGAATTCTCTAGCTTTAAAGTAGGAGAACTTTCTGTGCTGTGACACAGGAAGCAGGAATAGTAGTCTGAATTGAGGAGACAGAGATTAGAATTTGAGGAGGGTGAAGAAACTATAATTTTCAGGGCAGAGTATGGTGCAGAAGAAACCATGCAAAGAAAAAGCTCTAGAAAATTACCAAGGGTCATCTTGAGTCTGCCTGAATACCAGGCTCACACGAGTAGTGTTTGAATCCATGAGGCTGGGCAAAGAACAACTACTAGGAGCTATCAATTGACCAATTCCCAGAACTCACTCAGGCCTGGGAGACATTATAATTTTCAGAGTGAAGAGACTTCGTTGAACACCTGTTGTATTCAAAAGAGTCATGTCTTATGTAGCAAGGCTAATATAGTCCTAGAGTAAAAACTACTATACCTATCCTGTCAAAGCTTAAAACAGCCGCAAAAGGGGGGTGTTTGGGTGGCTCAGTTGGTTGGGCATCAGACTCTTGATTTTGGCTCAGGTCATGATCTCACAATTCATGGGATTGAGCCCCATGTTAAGAGGCTCTCTTAATCCTCAAAAGGATTAAGCTGATCCACAGATAATGTAAATGCCAAAATAAAAGACATCACTTCTATTTTTTTGGGGGGGGGTACAAAAAAAGTGGTTTTATTAAAACACAGGGATAGGACCTATGGGCAGAAAGAGCTGTCAGGGCATCACTCCTTTGAAGGAAGACAAAAAAATCCAGAGATATGGCAACAGAACATTTATAATGTCCAGCATCCAATACAAAACTGCTCAACAGAAAGAGGAAGTGACAGCATTGATGACACAGATATCTACGGTAGGGCATTCCACATAGAGGAAACAGAAGATGTAAAGGACCTGAGACTTCTGCTTCTGGCAAAGATGGAATGAATAACAGGGATTGGATTTATGCTGTTCCTTGAAACTTGAAAGAAGAAACCAAGAAAAACCAGAAAACATATTTGAGTTTTCAAGCCTACACATCAGGCCACAAAGTATAGTGATGCCTAAGAGACAGAAAATAAACAATGTGAAGCCTATAACTGCCCCTTCTTACTACCTTAAAGAATGTCCAGGTTGAGGCACAAGGAAGAGAAACCCAGGCAGAGCTCAGCTAACTTCCTAAGCTGAGAAGATAGAGTTAAGAATCTGTTGAGACCAAAGCAGCTAGTTTATAGATAAGAGCAGTTAGTGAGGAGGAGAAAAGTGCCCAAAGACAGAACTCCAGAGATTTGCAGCAGGTCTCCCTTCTGCACTTTGCAGAGTACTGATCAGTGCATGTCTGTGACCAGGAATAGTACTTGGTTAGAAAAATCAAGTGCCAGATTGGAAAAACTCATAATTCATGAGGCATTGGGTAGAAAATTCAGGGGATACTGCTTTAGGAGTAGAGAACAAAGAGCCCTAGACAGGGCATAAACTAGCTTAACAAATCATAAAAGTATAACTCAAAAGTATTAAGATATTTCCAAGTAACTTAATTTCATTCCAAAACAAAGACAAAAAAATTTATAAGAATCCAAAAACACCCAGCATTTTTGGTAAAACTCAATAAGGTAAAACTCATAATGACTGGCATCCAAACAAAGATTATAAGACACACAAAGAAGCAAGAAAACCGAACCCATAACAAAGAAAATAATCAATTAATGAAAACTGACAAAGGAATGACATAGATGTTGAACTAGCAGATAAGGAACAACATCAGTTATCATAACTGTATGCCATATGCTCAAAAAGTTATGTCAATACATGGAAAATATTAAAAAACAAAACAAAAGATCCAAATCAAATTTAAAAATGAAAACTATGAGGTCTGAGATGAAAAATGGAATAGATGGTGAGA